AATTTTTCTATTTTGGAATGAAAAAGTTAAAAGTTAATTCCGGCCAGAAATTAGTAAACAATTATGTATTGTGGGCCAAAATTTTTGCAGCCAAGGTCAGGATCTGCCGGGACAACTTTGTTGCGACTAGGGTTGTGAATTCACATGTAAGATACATGTATTTTACTTATGTAAATTTTATGTAATTTATGTAGATTACTTGTAATTTATGTAAATTACTTGTAATTTATGTAAATTACTTGTAAGTTATATAAGCTTGAAATAAATCTCGAGGCGAATTTATGAAATCTGACCTAAATTACGCATACCGACATTTATATACTAATTGACAATAAATTCTTTGCACATTACCGAAGAGGTGCAAGAATTAGAAAGTTTATTGGCAGAATTTATTCTAGAAATGGTTTTTTTAACATATTAGAAAATTTATAATATTATTTTGCCAAGCCGGAGATAAAAAAAGGTGTTGTACCGTAAAATGGTTATAAATTGAAATGATATAAACTTTATTAAACTACGATGTTTATTTAATATTCATTACGATGTTAAACACATTTGACTTCCTTAAATATTTTCTGCTAAATAAAATTTACTCGCCGAAATTGTTTGTCCTGTTTATTAAGGTGCTTGGGAATGCCCTTATATTATGATATACAGTGAAACCTCTCTAAGTGCACCATCACTAAGTGCACACACCCTTTAAGTGCATACTAAAGCCTAGTCCCAAGCTTGGAACTTAATGCTAAATGCACCCTGCAGTGCATAGGATTTTACAGTTCAGACCTATATGTGCACCCTCTATAAATGCACGCACGTGACTAAAATAAACGTTTTACCAATTAAAATGGTAACTTTGTCGGATATTCTTGGAGGTAGATAATAAATTAACACAAAGGTTATCGGAAAGATTCGGGATATTATTAATTGTAGTAACGGAGTAGGAAGAAATACTAATTCTATAAATGCACACCCTCCCTAAGTGCACACTATAGCCCGGTCCCAAGGGCGTGCACTTAGAGAGGTTTCACTGTATATACAAAAACATTTTATAAACTAGATAAAAATTGTCATGTATAAAATATGTAGTTATGATATGAGAAATAAAGCCTATTTTAGCTATAATAATTTATTTTATTTATACATATTAAAAAGTTGACTCACAATATATATATAACTAGAAGATCCATGTCTAATATCAAAAGCATAACTCTTTGGATTGCACTCATATATAGTTCTATGCATATTTATATATTATAATATAAAAATCTTTCAGTCAAATTAATATAATTAAACTATTTTAATTAAATGTGAGATTTTGTTTATACCAATTCTAGATGGTTGTAAACTATATACTCCACTATACACATGGTAACTTATATGCACATTAATCTTAAAATTTAGTGCGCTTTGCATCGATTTTAAAATTCAGTGTACAGAACGCACTAAATTTAAATTTAAATTTTTTACATTGATTCAGGATATATGTATCTGCTCCTCCACAAACTTTTAAGACAAATACGTCATCTGTTTCGACCTTCAGATATTTATTCAAGTATATAAGGGATTTTTCATATTTTCCTGCAATATGATAAATATATTCACGTAGGCTTAATATAAATTTATCACTTGGATTAATTTCAAAACATTTAATTAGAGATTCTTCATATTTACACATTGAATTATAAGTCATTCCACGAATTCGTAGTGTAAAAAATCATCCGGCTTAATTTTCAAAGATCTTTAAGTGCATTTTCATAATTTTTAATAAATATAGCTTTATACGGAAGCTTAATCCAAATGCATCTTTGGCATAACCTATCTAAATCTGCAATAGATTCTTCATACTCAATAGATTTTTTTATATTCACCTGTCAAGCAATAAATATTTTTAAAGGTAATATTATTATTTGGTTTGCTCTCTAGCTGTTTATTCAATTCAATAAGAATTCCTTCGCATTTGTCTAAATTTGCAATGGATTCTTTATATTTATTGACTAAGTAACAAGTATTTGTTTGCAATATTAAAGCTTTGTATTTATATGCTTTAATTTTTCATAATATCTTTCAGTTTGCTAAGACGAGATATTTTAACAACATAATGATCCATTTCAACAACAAAGACATCATCATCATCTGTATCATGAGTTTTCATTTTCTAAAAAATTTCAGAACAAATCCAAAGAGTCTGGAGGCATATTAAAAGTTTTTTGTTACTTTTATTCTTTGGAAAGGGATGTTCTAATAATGGATTCAATCTTTTAATAGCGTCTAGGGATGGGTTCGGTCACGAACGGTCACAATTATTCATAGCCAATTTGCTAAATACTGAGATGATTTTTACTTTTGAGCTTTTAATTAAAGTTGTTCAGAATTAAATTCTGATCATCCCATACTTCCCTTCCCTGGAACTCTGAATTTCAAAATATGCTAATGCCATGACGTTACAAATTTTGAAATTCCAAGTTCCAGGGATTCTTTCCACTTATAAGATGGGATAATCAGAATTTAATTCTGAACAATTTTAATTAATAGCTCAAAAGTAGAAAATCATCTCAGTATTTATCAAATTGGCTATTAAG